TTAAATAGTGTTGGTACCCTTATTTATTTATAAGATTATGTAAATTCATTTATTTTACTTCGATTGTTGGTAATAATTAATAAGTGTATGTTTAATTTTGATTCATCTCTATATTTGTTATCACGGTTTCAGTTATCATCTTCTGTAACATATGTTGTGATCTTTATGTAGTCATCAGATGAATGGATTGGCTTATGAAGCCATCCTCCTTATATATAATTCCTGAATGCGCTGAGCCTACGTGGCTGTTTTTGGTGTTTCGGAATCCTACTTGGCGAAGAATCATGTTTCGTAACTAGGTTTGGACAAATAATATTAATATATTAATAATTAATAATTTAGGTTCGGACATTCCATAAATATTATTTAGCTAACTTAGGTACTTTAATATCAATTTTACTAATATAACCCTTTAATTCTTTGTAATTTTATATAGTGAGACACTAATATCCCTGACTTTTTATTTGTTTTCTTCAATTAGCTATTTAATTGTAAATGTATTTTAAAAGTTGATAACTTTTGTATTTCTTATCGGTTTTACATATATGATATATCAAATTAATCATCTTTCGATGATCTTCGATTTGACATCCATATTGTATGAATGAAATAAATAAATTATATTTATCTTTATAATAATAAAAAATAATAATATTTATTAAAAAGCATTAGGAAAATAAAATTATTTATCAATTGATATTTTTATGTTTAATGTAATTATATGTTGTAAGTTAAAAAAATTATTATAATATAACACAAGTAAGTCGCACAAATAAAAAAGTGTCATACTAAATATATAATAATATATATATTTTTATAAAAGATATTGAAATTTTCAATTAATTTTTCTCATTAATTTTATATTTTAAGAAAAAATTAGCAAACACTCGTGTAATACACGGGCGTTGTACTAGTTCATTGTTATTTACAAATAATGTATTGACACGTGTTCTGCAATAAATGTACATTAGATATGTATTAGTATATAAAATTATTGATGACTCCATCAAGTGTTAATAACTCATGATATCCCGTGTATGTTAATTTATTGTCATAACATTAGTAAACATATTACTCTTATTTTTATCTCACAATCAAAATAATTATATCATTAATAGTACATACGTTGCTATATATTTTTCGAAATTTATAATTATTAATTATATCTCTTTTTAGTATTCACGGTTTATTTTTCAAAATATTATATGAAGTGTGATATATATATCTGTGAATAATAAATTATATTATTCTTCTTAATGTCACTTACGTCATTTGACCAATTGCTGTTCGCTCAACAAAATCCTTTTGCCATTAATTTTGATCATATATACATAAAGTAATAATAATAATAATAATAATAATAATAATAACAATAATAATAATAACAATAATAATTAAAAAGAGAAATTCGAGAAGCTTGCATTCAATATTAAGATAATAAATTGATAAAATATTGCGGTTTACTGTTAATATACAACTGTTTCTAGATCTTGAAATTGATGAACTCCAGTTAAATATAAATAATATAAAATAGCAATTTCGTTTTTAGGACCAAAATGGAGTTTAATTTTGAACTTGTTGGCTATATATATATATATATATATATATATATACATTTTT